ACAATGAATAAGGAAAATTGATTGTTGTCCAAAATTGGGTTGATTGCTTAACAGTGATCATGATTTATAGTGCCTTTTTTTTTGTGTATTTTTCATTAGAATACTTGAAAAAACACTATATGAAAACAACTCTTATAAAGAAAATCATATAGCAGAAAATAGTATACCATGCACTATGAAAACAACTCTTAAATTGTAAACAACTCTTAATTTGTAATTGAAGTTAAGGTTGTGATTTAGCTTGTAACTTTGCTTCTGCTTCCCTTTCGATATTATATAATAAATCCTATAGAAGATACATACACAAACTAAAAGGCTGGTGTAAATTTTTTCCAACTATATTTCCAAATGTTACATTACACTTTATTTAAAAGTACAAATATTCATTTTCGTTGTGTAACTCCACAGAATTTCCTTTTTCTTCCTTGTCTTTTTTTTCTTTCCTTTTTGTGACAATCAAAGTTGTATTCCTCTATTTGAAAACTGGTTGTTCTAAGACATAAAACCACACAGAAACTGCCCATATCAATGTCGATATATATATATTCTCATTTCTCTATCATCAGCACATCAAATATTCGCATTCTTGTAGGCGAGATAGAACCTCCTTACAGCTAGGCCGTTCTTCCGGTTCTGCCCAGCAATCTATCCACCCAAAAAAAAAAAAGGAATCATTAACCAATCAAACAAATAACTACTAATCCTAAAAAAAGATCAAACATCACTAATAGACTCAGCAAATTCCATAAATACCAGCTATCAGCTTGCCCAGAGGACCTTCTGGAATTTCCAGCCTCTGCCCATCATTGCCGACATTATCAACAACCTGCTTATAAACAAAAAATATTACGAATTTTAGATTCCTTTGGCTTTACTTGCTTTACTTTATTACATTTTATGCTTTATAAGTTGTACCTGAACTGATGGTACACCTTCCCACGGTCTGTTGAGCGTGCAAAGCTCCCACATGATGACACCTAGGCTGAAAATATCGCACTTCTCTGTGAAGGGTTCGTTTCGGATTAGTTCGGGAGCCATCCATTCAGGTGTTCCGGCTGAGGAAGTGTCTTTCATGGGCCGGGTCGTAAGTACCCGAGAAAGCCCGAAATCACATATCTTCACTGTCCAATGCTTATTCACCAGGCAATTCGCGCTCTTTAAATCACGATGCACGATTTTCATCCGATGGATGCTCATCAGTCCCCTATAGTTGTCCAAAGCAATAAGAATTTTTCCAAAAAAATCCAATCACTTTTTTCAACTAACATATAACTCAACCCCACTATACTCAATATTAGAGATATAATTAAATAGTACCGCTCAATCATTCTTTACACATTACATCAACTTTAATTCACTATTCAGTCACTCACATAATTTCAACTAATCATCACTTCACATAATTTCTTTCCTACTTTTACATCAAATCAATTTTACTTATTTTATTTTATGTATTTTTTTAATATAAATTGAAATCCCACTAACAACTAACCATACCACTTTTTTCAAAATTAACTTTGGTTAACAAAAAAAACTCATTTTGAGCGGATATATTTGTATACAAACACACCCTAAATAGAGAAGCGGGAGTTAGATCCTTCTTCCATCCTATGTTTTCACTTTCCATTCCATTTTCTGAATTCCTAATTTTCGAATATAGAAGTGAATGTTCAGAATATGGAAGTTCAGTAATGCGCACCTGCATATATCACAAAGCATTTTGAGTCTCTTTTTCCAGCTAAGCTTTTTTTTCAGCCCACTTCCATGGATCAAGAAATATAGTGATCCCATCTCCATATATTCAGTAACTAAGGAGAGGCGAGGGGGAGTCGTACAAGCTCCAAGGAATAATATAACTGCTTGGAAAAGAGCACGCACATGTGCTAAGAGATATAATAAAAAATTATAGTGAAAAAAATTAAAACGTAAGAAAGTAGTAGTTTAGTACCATTTGGGTGACGAGTGCGGCTGCAGGAAATGAAAAAGATATTTATTATTTTAGTAAATAAAGAAGTCACTATTTTCTCACTGGGCATAAATGCTGAATTTCCAGAACATTAGAGGATCAAAGAAATATTATTACCTCAAGATTGATATTTCATTGCAAAAATCTTCAATATTCTCAACATTGAGATCTTGTTCCAGGAACAATTTGATTGCAACCTCTAATCCATTCCAAGTGCCGCGAAAAACTTCCCCGAAGAATCCTAAAAGAATAAAAAGGTAGAAATAAATAACACGGTGGAATCAAATGTCAAGTAGCATCTCTCGTTTAGTTCACCCAATCACCTAACCGTACTATGGATACTTTGTCGAGCAATAATTGGCTGGAGGAGGATTTTTCCAGAAAATTTCCAATTCAAACGATCAAAGAACTTAAATTAAGAGTTCTCGTGAAAGTTATGGGTTTTTTTTAAAAAAATAATATTAATAATCGGATTTCCATGGATCTTTATTGTTCCCTTCAGCAGATACATTTACCGAACTGCTAACCATTCAAGAACTGTATGTCTGGAAAAACAAGAGAACTGCAATGAAAAATACAATAGCAAATTCTTAAAAGTATAAGCTCACAAGTCACAACTCTGGCAGAGCATGACAGCAGATTGGTCAGATTACGAAAGTTACTCTGTTTATACATGTAGGGAAAAACGCTTGGATATAAATTTAAGCAAAGAATATCTAGACTTCCCTTTTAACATACACAAAAATGAAATGGCCTGAAATATCTGCTACCCATTACATAAGAATTTTAAACCAAACCAATCAAGGACTATCTAAAACAGATACAACAAAATCCATGACTAATCAAGTATCACAGTTGACAGAAAAGCCCAAGAATAACTTACCGATTCCTACACGAGTTCCGATGGTTATCTCGGAAAAATCTATGTTCCATTCTGGGAAGGGTAACAAGGGCTTGTTCACAATCTTTGATGATTCAAGGACTTTATTGAATGCTGCCATCATATCAGAACTCTCCGAATTTTCTGATGCATCATCCCTAAGAGAAGCTTCATGGGTACAATGTTGAGGAGATGAAGGCAATGATATTGCCTTGTGAAGACTTATTTGTTTTGATGGGAAATTATATGACAAAGGTTTAGGACCATATATTCCATCACGGCTACCTGAACTCTGCCCAGACACCTGCAAAAAAGAAAAATATAATACAATAAACGTGGTCAATTTTAGGGAGATCCAGGACAAGATTACAAGACACGCAGTCTTGTTCATGCAAAAAGGAAAAAAGAAAAAAAAAAATCAAAAGCGAAGATAGATTAATGAACAATCAAAAAATAATCTAGGACTGTTTAAGTAACCCACGATCTATCACCTATATTTTGACAGCTACTTACATTCCAAAAATAAAATATAGAAACCCACCAGGGCAATACTAACGCACAGAGAAGATAATGGAAATCTATTGTCTCACATAAAAAACTCTTTAGGCAAATCTTTGAACCCGAAGGAAAGAATCAATTCGACTGGAAATAAAAGGAAAATTCAATCCCGGTATGTAAACAGCGCAATGTCATTAAACCATCACAAACAAAGTATTGACAGAAGCATACACTTTCTCGGATATCTGAGTTGTCATCCTTCCCACTTGTCGAACTATGACTCGAATTTACTTGTTCTTCCGGAAGACGGTTTTTCTTGAGAGCTTCACTCATCCTCCGAACAGCCCTGAATTTAAATTTTCCAGAATCAAGTTAAATTTTTTCGACAGAAGAATGCATGTTTAGCAAAACTGAAGGCACAACTACCAAATGCTTGATGACAGAGATATTTCAGGTGTGATTGGATATATTTCTAAAACCATTATCTCATCATCCACAAATCAAAATATGCTATTTATCCATTTCACTTTTTTCATTCTACTGCACTCACATTTTTTAATACAAATTTTTAAATTAAATTTGGATCATTACTAAACACTCGGCTATAAAATTTACTATTCATCCACTCACGTATTTAAACCAACCAACCATTATTTTACTATCGTCTTATCACATAACAATTAAATATTACAATATTACACTGCTTTACATTATCAAAATCATTAACATCCACTAATTATTCTTTCTCCATCGAAAAAATTTTCCATCAATGAATGGGTTTGAATACATATCCATCGAAAAAATTAGGTTTAGTGCAAAAGGCTGGCAGAACTTGCTTTGTCACATGATTCATGTGATTGACTAATTGTACTAGTCCCACACTTACGAGGAATAAACTTTAGGGGCATGAAATAAGTACATGTAGTGCAGAAAATATTGCACAAAAACAGGAAAGAAAAAAGTAAACGCTTTGTCACTCTTGCATAATAGAAAAAAAACAAACATTTCAAGAATTTGACAAAGGGAACAAATAAAATAATTATTTTCCACATTATATGGATGCATGAAATGAATTATGTTGATTGGAAACAAAAAGAAAGACTGAACCACCTTACGGTATCATCCCCAATCTCAGGAATCATGCTGATACAGCGTCGTCTTCTCCTACGAGCTTCCACTGGAGATGCGCCAGCAGACCTTCAGATAGAAGTTCATTAGTAAATGAAAAAAAATTCTTCTAAAAAGAAAAGGGATCAAAAGATATAACAGCTGAGTAAAATAAAAAGGGAATGGTTGGTTCGGATGCAATCTGGGCACCAACAGATTGTACTTCTTTATCCTGCTAAGACTTTGTGAGCTTTAAGAATGTGAAATTGATTTCTAAAATGTGTGTTGTGGTGACATTTGACGAGAGCAACAAATAAGAGTTCCAACTGAAAGATGTATTATCCTTTCTGTTTTTACACTCCAATCTCATTTTTCTTTGACAGTTACAACGACCAAGTAAATATTATATTTATCGTGA